TGTGGCTTTGTTTGGAATTATTTTTGTTGTCGAAATAGAGCAAAAACAGGAAATATGGTGTCTAAAGTCTAAATTAACTTCTTGTTTATTGAACAGTTGTAAAAAAATCAATATCACATTTGTAATCATTGTCATTTTTGGAGAAAAAAACGTCACTCTTCGTGTGAAATTGATTAACTAGGCTATTTGAAGTGGTATAAATATATACATTTTCTGCCCCCATGTCTTGAATTTGTGATAATTCTAAATGTATTGTAATAGACTGGATCATCAGCACTCTAAATGCGCGCGCACTAGTCTAGACTTCACGTAATGTATGCGTGCACTCAGTAGGGGTGTTTTGAAAGTTTTTTGCAAAATACTCGATAATGTCAAATCGCACATCGTTAAAACAACAATTACGATATTATCGCAGACGATATATATCGCACACCCCTACTCCAGGGATAAACTTGTTGGCATTTCCAACCTTCAAATCAGCTGCCAGAAAACAAAAGGGCCAAGACATACTATCGAAGATCTTCTTTAAAACTATTGGGGGGAGGTCTTGCAATTTATGTGATGTTCGCCCAAATATTATAAAATCATAGAAAAATGGGGGGAAATGATTAAATCAATTACTCAATGTCTCTTGGGCAGCTGCCAAAAATGGCAAAAAAATCCTGCCTGGCATCAATCTAATGATTCCCAGGAGAGAAGACCACAGTATCAACACAACATTAACATTTGACATTTATCAGCTGCCCCCAGCGGTAGCAGCAGTTCACTCTGGACACGTTCCACTTGTATGTAGGAGGGTATATTCCTGTGGGTCCATATTGACAGATGCACAGGCTTCCTGCACTCTCACACCTTTAACAACAGCCATCAAACATTTGATGAGATCAAGCCTCCAAAGTACACCAAACCCCCTACCTTGTCAGTTGTATTTGGCGAGATATGAATATGAAACTCCATCTTCCAACACATAATCCTCCTCTGTTGCGCCAGGAGTGCCCACTTCCACTGGGGAAGCTATGGCTGCCAAATTACAACAGTGCTTGACCTTATTTTTTTTCCTTCACATACTAGAGCCAATAGATTAAGACTCCCGTTTCCTTATGCTTGGGGAGACCGCATGGGGAGAAGGAGACGGGAATGGGAGGAACCACATCACTCAATACCTTTTGGAGATTTTGGACATTCTTCATTTAAGAAAATAGGTCAGGGGTTTCCATACCTTCCAGCAGAGTTTAGCTCCAAGCACACCTGAACCAGTTAATCAAGGTCTTGAGGATCACTAGCTGCATCCAAAATCACATACTGTCTAATATAGGGGTGTCCAATTCTGCTCCTGGAGGGCCACTGTCCTGCAGCGTTTAGCTCCAAACCTAATTAAACACACCTGAACCAGCTAATCAAGGTCTTCAGGACCTCTGCCACAAACCTTCAGGCAGGTTTGAGCTAAACTCTATAGGATGTTGGCCCTCCAGGAGCAGGATTAGTTTGTACTGGTCTAGTACAAACTGCATTTGATTTAAAACTTACTTTGTGACTGTTAAAAAAAGCATGTTCTACATAGCACAAATATGGGTAGAATACATCCACCATGTTGTCACTGTCCCGTGACCTACCAGCATCAGTTGCTTCACTGCCATTCACAACTCCTCTCCTGTGGCTTCATGGGATAGTAAAGTGTTCACCAGATGCACACTTCCGAATCTTTGCGGAAGTAGTAGGTCATCAGGGTACTCTCCACCTATTTTCTGGTCATACTGCTCTTTTGGCATATTATGGAAGTAGGCATATTTGGACGCAAAACCTCTAAGCAGATGTGTTAGAGCTACACTCTTCAGGAAATTGGCTTTCCAGGAAAAGGGTTGGACAAAGGTGTCCAAGCTGAACAAGGGACATCGCAAAAAGCTCTTTTTTTAAACGGACTCCGCTTACCCTCAGAGATGTGATGGTGGTTGGGTCCCGTATCCTGCCTTCTTCATCCTTCAGATTGTAGCCCTCCGGTCGTTTGTCTCTCTCGCTGATTTTCCATAGCTTCACAGTTTTGTCTGGTAAAAGAGATATGCGAGACAATGTGTAACGTGGAAGCAGTGTTTGTAAGGTTAGGAGCAGAGAAAATATCAGCAGATCCACTGGAAATGGGCCAGTAAAGAGAGTGAACATAGCTGGCACAACAAAACAGACAGGAGTTAAATCAAATAAGATCAATGTCTTCCAATTAACCTGATTGGACCGTGCTGCTGCCTGTATGCTGAACCACTCTGAAGTGTCCTAAAACAGGACTATAGCTTCATGAGAGCCATCTATCTCTTGCGAGTTTGGGTCTGAAGAATTTGCTACTTTTAATTGGCTGCAGTTACACAGCAGAAATCTCTAGCAGCCTAACTGCTCAAATAGGCACTGTAAACAACATAAATGAAAAATGTATAATTTCAGATCTCAGATTTCTGCCAACTAGTAATTATTTAAATAAATATTCAAAATAAATACATAGACACTCACTACTTGAGAAATGTTAAAAACCTGCTGGATGTGTGTTATTGCACTTTAAATTATGAAGTAAGCCAAGCTGGTTTATGCTTATTATTGCTGGTTTACCAGCAATGCCATGCTGTTAACCCGAAAAACATAGCTTAGAATAATGACTGTTCACTGTCAGCAGAATTGAATTCTGTATGCATTGCAGAATCACTACTTTATTGTTTATCACTGTAAAGCTGCTTTGAAACAATCAGTATTTTATGAAGCGCTATATAAATAAAGGTGGCTTGACTTGACTTGGCTGTTTTTTTGTTTATGGTGAAACTGGTTGACCACACCAGTCAAAAGTTTGGGATCTGCAAGCTTTTTGTTTTTAAAAACAATTGTCTTATGCTCAAGCAAAGCTGCATTTATTTGAGCAAAATACATTAAAAACAGTAACAGTAATTATATAAGTTGCGTAACTATATAATAAACAATAATACTGTGAATTATTATTTCAATTTAAAATAACTATTTTCTATTTTAATATATTTTCGCATGTAATTTATTCCTATGATGCAAAGCTGAATTTTTAGCAGCCATTTACTCCAGTCTTTACATGATCTTTCAGAAATCATTCTAACATGCCGATTTGCTGCTCAAGAAACATTTTTTTTTATTATGAATGTACTCTGTGGTCTGTAACACAATGCAAAACCGCATATATCTTAGCATATTCTTTTATCTCTTTAAAGAATGGCCCTGACAATATGTATAATATTTTTTTTCTGAATAGTGAGAAAGTGTACATTTATTCATTTGTCAGATACTTAAGGAAATTTGTATGCAACACCACAGATAAACCAATCAACACAGTAACACCCAAAACACATTTTTCAAAAGTAAGAAACATTAGATCAGATATGACGAGAACGCATTGGGTTTGCTCACCATTGGTGGACAGGAGGAAATAAGCGGCGTTCTGTTGCGGCAGCCAGCGGATTTTGTTGATCTTCTCCTCAATCTCCAGGCTTTTCAAGTAGTCAAACTCGGGCTCGTGGCTCTGAAAGGTGCTGTAAACATTGTACTCCCCCCGACGGTGAGGCTGGTTCTTACTCTGCAATGATGTAAGTGTTTACGTGTTATAAATAAACCAAGATGAAAAAATAGACCTTAATATATATTTGGTGCATTGCTTTGTTTCACTGCCTATTTCATGTGTATCATGCATGACAAATGCATCCCACATTAGCAGAGGATCGCATTTACAATTCATTCAGCGCTCTACATTAAAATGCTTGAACCTAATTATACATATGTGAGCTTGCATTAATTTTACATGGCTTTCTAAACATGCCGCTCTCTTGTGCGAGGCGCGAGTGCAACACTGATAGATGTCCCTCTAGAACGGCTTGGTTTCAGTTTTGACGTAATCAACATATTCTCCACACTGATGCTCTCGTTTTCCGCAATATATTGAATGAACAACTCACTACTTTATTGTTTATCACTGTAAAGCTGCTTTGAAACAATCAGTATTTTATGAAGCGCTATATAAATAAAGGTGGCTTGACTTGACTTGGCTGTTTTTTTGTTTATGGTGAAACTGGTTGACCACACCAGTCAAAAGTTTGGGATCTGCAAGCTTTTTGTTTTTAAAAACAATTGTCTTATGCTCAAGCAAAGCTGCATTTATTTGAGCAAAATACATTAAAAACAGTAACAGTAATTATATAAGTTGCGTAACTATATAATAAACAATAATACTGTGAATTATTATTTCAATTTAAAATAACTATTTTCTATTTTAATATATTTTCGCATGTAATTTATTCCTATGATGCAAAGCTGAATTTTTAGCAGCCATTTACTCCAGTCTTTACATGATCTCTCAGAAATCATTCTAACATGCTGATTTGCTGCTCAAGAAACATTTCCTATTGAATGAATGAATGTTGAAAACAGTTGTGCTGCTTAATGTTTTTAGTAGAAACCATTATATATATTGCAAATGTTGCTATATGAAATTTTTACCCAAATTTCACTCTACCACAATGAAAAACAGCATATATCTTAGCATATTATTGCAATATGTTTTTTTTTGTTTTTCTGAATAGTGAGGAAGTTTACATTTATTCATTTGGCAGATGCTTAAGGAAAGTTCTATGCAACTCCACAGATGTTTAGTAAAGACATCAGCACAGTAACATCCAAAACACATATGCTAGTGACCAGCAAGTCTTTTCAAAAGAAGCATTTGATCAGATATGAAGAGATCACATTGGGTTTGCTCACCGTTGGTGGACAGGAGGAAATAGGCGGCATTCTGTTGCGGCAGCCAGCGGATTTTGTTGATCTTCTCCTCAATCTCCAGGCTTTTCAAGTAGTCAAACTCGGGCTCGTGGCTCTGAAAGGTGCTGTAAACATTGTACTCCCCCCGACGGTGAGGCTGGTTCTTACTCTGCAATGATGTAAGTGTTTACGTGTTATAAATAAACCAAGATGAAAAAATAGACCTTAATATATATTTGGTGCATTGCTTTGTTTCACTGCCTATTTCATGTGTATCATGCATGACAAATGCATCCCACATTAGCAGAGGATCGCATTTACAATTCATTCAGCGCTCTACATTAAAATGCTTGAACCTAATTATACATATGTGAGCCTGGACCACAAAACCAGTCATAAGGGTCATTTTTTTCGAAATTGAGATTTATACATCATCTGAAAGCTGAATAAATAATTGGCCGAGATACAACTATTTGAAAATCTGGAATCTGAAAATATTGAGAAAATCGCCTTTAAAGTTGTCCAAATGAAGTTCTTAGCAATGCATATTAGGGCTGTCAAAATGACTGAAAAACTAAATCGAATTATATTCGAATTTAAAAGGCATAATTTCAGTTAGGGGGAAAAAAAGCTTTTGGCTTCTCTCCTGAGGCCACAAGAGGGTGCATCGAGCAAAATATTATGCACGTTTCTTCAAAGAGTAATAAAATAACACGATACAAAATATCTTCATGGAACATGATCTTTACTTTATATCCTAATGATTTTTGGCATAAAAGAAAAATCTATAATTTTGACCCATACAATGTATTCTTGGCTATTGCTACAAATATACCCCAGCGACTTAAGACTGCTTTTGTGCTCCAGGGTCACATATAGCACATAATTAGAGGCAGCAAACAAATGATAATTGGAAATTTCTGCATAAACATTGGCTTATATTAAGTCCCTCTGTGTTACAGTCACATATGGAATGTGTGTTGATTTTTTCTTTGTTGCTGAAAGCCGTGAAATATAAGTGAGGCAGGTCAGGATCTCAATGCACAAAGGTGGTCCGGGTTAGAGGAATATCTCAATACCGATCAGAGCGTGGAAACCTTCAGGGTCACTTCTCACCTTGGGAAGCGTCTGAATCAATAAGCAGAACTCAGACAGACCGAGAGAAGACGAGGGTATTAATGGAAACAGATTTCCCCTCGGCGGGAGGGAGGGGGTTAAAGGGGGTCTGAAACAGAGTGGGGCATGAATCATGGCGCGAGGATTAACAGACACCATGAAATCTCTGTAAAGATGATGCGAGCGTGAGATGAGGAGGGGCGGACGGCGGGGTTTTCGCACTTTTGTGCTGCTAGACAAAACAGTGAGGGGTTATTAGATCTGAAACAGTTCATGACCAACTCACAAAAACACAAATTTAGTCAATAGAGGATAAACTGTCAATTTAGGATGAGGATGTGTACTACCATATTTACAACTGTATTCAAAGTCCTGCTATGGCGATGATATTGGGTGTGAATTTATACTATAACATTTTACAGTATTTTTCAAGTAACATTTTAAATTATTTGATGTTTCCTGAGGTGCAATTATAATCTTAGTATGTTTTTTTTTCATCAAAAACAGTCATAATTTTTATATAAATAGTAATTTTCTACCCTGAATTTTGCCTCTGATTTGAACGCTCCAATGAAAGGGGCGTGTCTGCTGAGACCTCAATGTAAACGCCCACTGCTATGATTGGTTAACATCTTTGCATATGAAATGAGCATTACATGTGAACTCTCTTGAAAACTTTTACTGTGTTTTTACTATAACAGCCGCCAAGAATGACTAATAATGAAAAACAGTTGACAGTAGCATTATATTTAGATCTAGCAGCGATGTATAGCAGCCGAACAGTCACGTCTGCTGAGCACACAATGCAATTATTAAATGCTTTCATCATAACTAACACACTGAAAATGTGATGTAAATAACAGACTCATTGAGCAGCGTAAACTGTTATTGATTATAATGGGAGTTTTGGTGAAAATGCAGAAATCAAATCACTGACTTGATCCAGCGATTATAAAGAGAATGATCTTTGCATTCTGTATATGAATAAATCACAATATAGTCGAATATGGGTGTTTCAGAATAATTCATATTTTAAACTGAGGAGTTAGCTTTTGAGTTTTGAAACATGCAGTATGTTTTGTTGTAACAGTAACCTCTTATATGTGTAAATATCAAGAGCATTTTGATTCTCCACTTCACGACCTCTTAAACATCCATATTCTATTCTACATTATGGGAAGCCTCGTAGTAGTAATAGTCTTTAAATTATGGAGAATACAATGTCTATCCCAAATTACCTCCTGTTCCCTCTGGAAGACCACCACTCGTCCACCTTTGTCCCCAGTGGCCAGGAGTTCTCCTGTCGAGTTGAACTCAACAGTGGATATGATGTCAGCTGAAAGAGAGGCATAGAAGATGATATAGTAGAGCTTCAGGAATTTACATTTAATAATCTACATTGAGACATGATATATATATATAACAGAACTCCTTAGAACAGTTTCAGTGCACTCTAGAAATTTCTTTTGTGCCTTTTGGACAAGTCTCCTTCAAGGTAACAAATTTGGAATACAGAAAAATTACAACAGACAACACAAATTTCTAAAAAAATAAATAAACAAAGAAACATATATAAATAAATGTTATAGAGCATTATTATTGTTAAATTTTGTTGTGAATTCAATTGATTAGACGTCCCTTTTAAGTATTACAATTAAACCACTCAATAGAATCCATAAAAATTAAAACAAAAAAAAAAAAATTGGAAAAAAAATAAAACCGATTTCAACTGGACAGTTTACAGCTGTTCTGAGACCAGCCCGGCCATCTCATGTCAAATGTGATGATCCGCTCACCATGCACTCTTGAAATGTTCTCCCTGTCTATCACCATTCCATTGATATGTAAATGTCACCAGATATCACCCACTACCATCATCCCACCAAATATCATCTTCAAAAGCCAGAACGATATGGAGACCTTTGAAAGGACATGTGAAGCAAACACTGAGAAATTCTAGGTCGACAAAGAGATCATACTGGACAAACACCTGATATCGCAGCCAAATGCAACGCTCTCCCTGCAGTGAATGCATGACATCAACATCAATTCAAGATGCACTTGTATGAAAAAAAATCCCCTGTGTATGTTTATGAAGGACATCATCAAAGATTAGGCACACAAAGGCATAAACTCTCAATCTGGCCTGCATGCAAAAAAACAGACAAGCTGACATGTAGTGGGCTGACCACTTTAAGACAGACTAGATTAGACTAGACAGATTCTTTGTTAAACACAAAAGAAGATATTTTGAAGAATGAGGGTAGCCATTGACTTTCACAGTATGGAAAAAAATACTTTGGCTACCGTCAGCTGTTTGGAATTGTAATTCTGGGGTAAAATCTACCTTTAACTTTGATGATTCTAAAAAAAAATAACTTTAATACATTGATTGCTATGTGGTTTCTAGGGTGCCCTGGGTGGTTGCTAGGTCCCAAGTCTTTTATATAAGTCTGCACGATTATGACAAAAATCATAATTGTCGATTATTCCCTTGAAATTGTAATTGCGATTATTAATTACGATTATCACAATTTACGTTGAATGATGTTTCTACTATTGTTTGATGCAACTGCATGCTGTATTTTTATATGAAAATAAACTGAAAATAAACTGAAAATAAATCTGAAAACTCTCTAACTGAAAAACTTTTAGTGCTTTTTCATAGTATTAAGCCTCAAATGTCAACTATACATCGGATTGGTTTCTTCTTTAAATTATAAAAAAAGTAAAAATATGAATGGTATTATAGTGTTATACTAAAACTAAAATTAAAACAATGGAAAAACCCTTAAGATAACATGTAGAAAGAAAAAAAAAAGCACACAGAAGTGGACTTTGAACGATTAATTGCCGCTTTGAACGATTACGTAATTGTGGCATCCATAATTGTAATCGCGATTAGAAATTCGATTAATTGTGCAGCCCTATGTTCTTTCTTCTTCCATGAGGGGGTTTGGCATCATGGCATCTTTGTTTCCAGTGGAAACAGTGGAACGTTAAAGAACGCGCCACACACGTCTCCCAGAAATCCTGTATAATTCAACCAATCCGATGACGACTTCCAAACTCCTGAAGTGTTTCCAATTTTGTGTGCCATATGCATCAGACGTTCAGCCACCGGTCCATGGCGTGACGTCTGAGGCTGAGACTAGGTTTAGGGTAGAGTGTAGTGAAAGTGGTACCTTATTTTCAGAACGGGATAGAGCATTGACTTTCAGCGCCACTTAACGGGCATTTAATTTCCTAACTGCCGCGACACATGCAACAACCAACGTAATAAAATGTAATCAGTTTTGGATAAAACGGAATATACTTGACATTCACTTTCAAAGTGTCACAAAACATGCGAGAAGCAACGAAATTTTTACAATGAGCCTTGGTTGGTAATAGTACACTTCTCCCAAGTGTGGTAGCACAAGTTCTGCAGGATGAGTTGACCACCACAGTTTCTAATTAGGGGTTTGTCTGTAGCAAGCATCAATAGCACATTTAATAAGCATTTATCAAATGAAATCATCTACTAAATTATCTGTACCTAGATTTTTAAAGCAGCCTTACTGGTGAGCATCTCTTTCTCAATACCCAACATGTTCTGAACTGTAAGTGACCCAGATCCAAACCTACAAAGATTCTTGACACTTCAAAGAGCTGCATCGCTGGATGGCTCCCATTGTGGGATGACACTGTGTCTAATCGCCAGCCCACCGCCAAAAGAAAGTGGGCCAGGGTGGGACGCTTAATTAAGGCAGTGCTACTAACGACAGACAAGCCAAAGTAGCAATCCGCTGCTTTATCGCACATAATTTGACATGTTTGTGCTGTCTTATAAATGTTTTTCAGTGCTAGCAGAAGACTTCTATGTTAAACGTTACATTATTCAATTCAATTTGAATTTGGCATTGTCTGGCATTGTGTACATGCTGTTCTTGTAGGAGTCGGGTGTTGTTTACCTCCAGCTATCTAGGTTTTCTGGATATTCCTAGGTACTCTCATCTTACCCAGAGCCAAGATCCCAAAATAACCTGTACATCCGAGCTCTTTCTGACCTAGCTAGTGCACAACAACAGTTTTAAGACCGTAAGCACATTGCTATTGTAGCCTAGACATTGTTGAATGGTAAAAGACGTTACAGTTCAAAGTTCATTAGCAAACGCTGCTCTGACTCCCTCTGCTGTGCGTGTTCCGATCGATTCCTACCTTTGACACATCTCCCTTGGTCTTCCTCAAGGAGATGCATCTGTTTCTCTGTCTTTGAGATGTACTGTTGCTGTGCAATCCTTACTGCGAAAAGAAAGGGTTGTTTCTGCTGCGATAACTGCAGTTATCCTTCTCTCTTGCTCTCTGTCTCTCTTTATCACGCAGGTAGCACTATTTCATTGTACGTAACATCTCACAATTCGCCAGCTGTCCCCACACAATCTCAAAATGAGTCCAGCACTCCCGAAATAGTCGGCTTGGATTCATTTGCATAAATCCCAAACAAATACAGAAGAAATGACTTCTAAATATTTGCTTTTATCCATTTCAAGGAGTAAATGACAGAGAGAAGCTAGACACAAAGAGGTGGAGAAAGAGAGAGAGAGAGAGACTAAGAAAAGAAACAGGGGCTGAAAAGGCTTGTTGTTTTTTCACCTCGATACACCTCTCTGAGCTTTTATATTGTCTGCATGGTGAATTTAAGTGCAGCGTTTCCATGACAACCGTTCTTTGGACTAAAACAAGTGCTGTGTGTGATTCTTGCAAAGACTTTGTTCATGTGGAGTGAGCTGCCATCGCACTGACAGAATTTAGAGCAGTCGGGGAAATCTTACGAATCGTATGGGTCATATGTCATCTCAAATTCAAATCAGAGTAATTCAAAATGAGATTTTTCTTAAAGAAAACAAAGTCTTTTAAGGATCGGTTAGATCTTGTTCATCATGGCATTATTTGCACGACAATGCATCCCCAGCCAATTTTCATTACTAGAATTTGAAATAAATAATAATAATACATTGTTTACAATGTTTGATTTATGCCTGTTGTAATAGGAATATGTATTATAGCCATATTTACTGTAATATGTGACCCTAGACCACAAAACCAGTCATAAGGGTCAATTTTCTGAAATTGAGATTTATACATCATCTGAAAGCTGAATAAATAAGATTTCCATTGATGTATGGTTTGTTAGGATAGGACAATATTTGAAAATCTGGAATCTGAGGGTGCAAAAAAATCAAAATATTGAGAAAATCGGCTTTAAAGTTGTCCAAATTAAGTTCTTAGCAATGCATATTACTAATCAAAAATTAAGTTTTGATATATTTACGGTAGGAAATTTACTAAATATCTTCATGGAATCTTTACTTAATATCCTAATGATTTTTGGCATGAAAGAAAAATGGATAATTTTGACCCATACAATGTTTTTTTGGCTATTGCTACAAATATACCCCAGCGACTTAAGACTGCTTTTGTGCTCCAGGGTCACGTATAGTAAAATACTGAATTACAATAATAAGAATCCAATGAGAGAAAACAATAAAAAGTAATAAAAAAAATAAAAAGCATTAAAAATGGAATATAAATAAAATAAAACTAAAGAAGTGGTGGACAGTGTTTTTGCTTTGTTACTAAATAAACATTTTTCAGTATCTTTTATTTTAGTAAACTTTCACTTTTACTTCACTACATTCCAAAACATAATATTGTAGTTTAACTCCACTACATTTCATAAAAAACATTTTGTTCTTTGTTTTTTCCAAATGTTATTTCAAAATTCTTTGTTATTTCAAAATTTGCCACTTTTGAGAAATAAGACCAATGTCCGATTTCTGAATGAGCTGATTCTGTTCAATGAACCTGTTGAATCTGTTTGCAAATCGCACTGAACGACTAATTTGCGAATCAAACGAATCTGATGTCAGGAAAGATCCAGTCACAGCGAATAATGAGCGGAAATTCTGTCATTAGTAAAAATTTACTAAAAGAAGTTAATAATATCAGCGCTGATAGCTTTTTGGGCCACTTCGTTTCCTGTCAATATATACTGTCTTATCCTAATAAAAGCCAAAAATAAATCTTTAAAAAAAAGTTACTAATGCCAAATTTTTGTCTTGATTATTGTAAATAAAAATAACATATAGATAATGACTGTCAGTTATTGGTGAACTCAATCTGCTGTAAAAGGCCAAGCTGTTGAAGTCCACTCTATGAAATGCTTGAATGTGGACATGTCAATACGGGTAGGCTCTTTTAGGAAGAATAACACAAATTAATGTCTATTCATCTTCCCTCCTGTCATAGCAGTTTCAAAGACATAAAACTTGTATGCGTTGGTGTTTTTTTAAC